GATCCTACACACACCCACCCCCACACACACACACACTTGAGAGGCACCACACAGCGCCCCCCTCAGTCACTGCACACCGTCCCCTCCCACAAAGACTGTGTCCCCTGCCCACACACTGCGCACTCCAGCACACACGTGCATCCAGACTGCTCCGGAGAACATACACAGGCACACATGTCCCGCACACGCACCGCCCCACCCCGCACCAGGGGCCCCATCTAGACACCCGACACCCTCTGGTCCACACCCCACAGGAACACATTTGCAAACAAATCTGCTGTGCCCCTAGAGCACACCAGGGCCCTCACATCCCCACCCACCATACCCCGCAGAAACACCCACAAACCCCACAAAGCAGCTAGCTGACATGCACACACTGCTGGGAGCTCTGGGCCAGCACCCTCCAGCCCATATGCTCACACACTGTGCGGCAGGCGCAGGGAGCAGCACCCCTCCCAGGACACCCCGCCCCCCATCATGCCATGCTCAAGGCTACAGACAGAGTTCCCACAACCCCCACCTTCCACCGCCAGGAGCCCCTGCCATGGGTGCTACCACGGGGCACCACCACGCTGCCCATGGGCTCCAAGCTGCCCCTCCCCGCCCCCAGCATGTGAGTCAGACCGGACACGGGCTGGTGGCAGACCCTGCCCTCCTCCCCTTCCTGGCTCTCTCTTCCCAGGCCCCTTCCCGGGTGGGGCCAGCAGAGGCCTCGGCCCAGGGTATGGACGGCCACGGCCATTTCCATCCCACAGGCCTCTTCACAGTGTGCTTCTCCCCACGTCCCTCGACGCGGTCCCGGACACTGTTATCACCGGTGTTCAGAGAAGGAAACAGGCCCAGGGGCACTCAGCTTGTTATGGCAGCACTGGGGTCCAACCCCTTGGCTCTAACTTTGGGGCTTATACTTAAACTCGACGACGGCAGCCGAGAAGGGGGCCGAGGTGGTGGGGAGCAGCTCCAGCCTGCTACCTCGGCCAGGCTTCCAGGGAGAAAGAGCTCTGGGCCGGGCCCTGGCAGAGAGACCACCAGAAGGAAAGAGGGAGCAGAAGAGTCACTACCAGCCTCTCCGGGTCCCCTGTCCCATCCCCTCCGGTCCCCAGCAAGGACAGACTGACAGTGAGGCACCTGGGTAGCTGGGGAGGCAGGAAGGGGCACAGAGAGGAAAGGGGGTCTGTGGGCAGAGGGAGGAGAACTAGAGGCAGGGGTGAGGGAGGGAGG